AGTCAGCAGCCATCAACATCGAGGCAAGACCCTCCACCAGCAAAAAGATTATGACTCACTGAAGGCTCAGATGATGGTTAGCATTTTTTAGCAATAAAGTATTTTCTAATTAAGGTATGTACATTGTTTTTTTTAGACATAATGCTATTGCACACTTAAAAGTTATGTTTACACTATACTGTAGTCTATTATATGCACTGGGAAACCAAAAAATTTGTGTGACTTGCTTTATTGCGGTGGTCTGGAACCAAACCCGCAATATCTCTGAGGTATGCCTGTACAGTCTTTTACAGCATCATTCCCTTGGTCCAGCCGATTCTTCACTCTATTAAGGAGCGAGGTGTTCTAAAATGTGCTTTGGAAAAATAGCTTTATTAGACATAAATAGCTCTCAGTTCCTTTACAAACATTGGTACGCTTTTGTTCTCGATTCAAATGCAAAGCTGTCCGGCTGCCAGCGGTGAGTAAAAATAAAAATAAAAAACCAAGAGCCTGTCTCAAGACTTGGCAAGGCAATAGTAGTATCATTAGTAGTAGTATCATTAGCACAGGTGACCAGTTTGGGAGTAGTCTCATTCTCCCAGCCACTGGGGCCAGAGAAAGGGAGAAGGCCGTTTGTTCTACAAGCATTTCCTAGAAAGGTCTACAAACTTCATCGAAAAAAATGACAACTCCAACTTCTGGCCAGAGGATAAATACAGTACGAGTAGTGGTCTGGCAGAAGTGAGGACCTGGCATACAAAGAGGGAGATGCATGAAGGGGAGAAATTTCTGGGGTTTAAGCTGGATGTCCATCATAACCCTGCACTTTCAGGGATAGCACCATGCTCATAATGGAGGATCCAAAAAGCAAGTTAAGGCTACCATCAAAAACACCACACATAAGGATCAGCTAATAATCTCTGTTATATGTTTTATGTCAAAATGGAATATGTAATATTAATAACTTTAGTATTCATTTGTTACAGCTATAATTAAGTTACAAATACAAGAGCAAGAGTCTCCAAACTGAAGTAATTTAAAAATGCACCCATTCTTTATCAAATCAGTAAAAGAATAAGGAAGTTACCTTACAGTGGGCAAGCAGCTACACAATCTTAGTTCCAGAAAACAGAAATATAATACAAATCAAAAACAGCTCAGCTATAAATGGCCACCACTATTTTTCATATATTAATTCACCCATGAGACACAGGGAATCGAAATCTAGTAGACTGACTGCATCCACTGAAGAAAATTGTGCCATTTCCCCATTAATAGAAAAAAAGTCAGCAGTATAACAACTTTCTTCAAAGAAACCATCAGCCATTCATCTTGCATTCTAAGATGTAGTGATAATAAAGTTACACTTGGAGGGCAAGTCTTCCAGGATTAAAAAAAAAGAAAAAAGTTAATTTAATTTCCAACATGCTGCAGAAAGACTTATGTAGCGGGAATCTTTGGCAGTCCAAATTCATCCACCAATACACCATCCTACAAAGGGAAGAGAGAAAGACAGTTTAACAGTCCTCTAGCAACTAACTGCAGAATTTTTATCAACATTTTAATCCAATTGTATATAGACCTTTAAGATTATGTTAGAGTGGAAACCAATAAAAGCATCAGTATTTTCTGTTGGCCACCTGACCGATTAATATAGCCCAAAAAGTAGAAAAAAAACAACTAACAAACCAAGAATCAAATAAGATCAATGCTTATACAACTGCTAAGAGTTGTAAATTATCTTTTAAGATATACATATAATCTAGAAACAATCTAATATAATGCAGTTTACATCAAATGCTGGTTTAGCTCAAAGCATGGTTAAAGATGTGTGTAAATATGTGAGCATATTTAAGTATTGCTAAATCAACTCCTGATTTAAGTATATAAGGGGTGTACATCATGATCTGGGGAACGCCTGTTCACCAGAATGTCCCATGGGATGACAAGGTCAAACGGTCACAAACTTCACCAAGACCATTTCAGGCTGGCCATAAGGAGGAACTTCTTTACAGTCCGAGCCCCCAAGGCCTGGAACAGACTGCCACCAGAGGTGGTGCAAGCACCTACTCTGGACTCCTTTAAGAGTCAATTGGGCATTTATCTTGCTGGGATCCTGTGACCCTAGCTGACTTGCTGCTCCTGGGGCAGGGCGCTGGACTCAATGATCTTCCGAGGTCCCTTCCAGCCCTAGTATCTATGAAATCTATGAAATCTTTTAACAGACTTGGGACTTGAGCAGAGTGTATTCCACAATCCTAAATATTCCACATGCACAAATCCTGCATTCCTGCAGCAGGTTAGATTAGATGACCCTTGAAGTTCCTTCTAGTCCTACAATTGTACACTACCTCTATCTAAGGCAACAGTGATGAGAACAGTTGAGCAATACAAGTTTTACTGTATGTTCCTTTTGCATTAAGTGACCACGGAAAAGACTCACCTTGTTTTTCGTGTCAGTAGGAGTGCCTTCTGGGATTGCTGGAACTGATGCAGCTTCATCTAAATAAGAAGTGTCCTCATCAGCCAAAAGTTCATCACCCAACGCATCCAGTTCTGAAATTGATTTGTTAGGTAGGATTAAAAGGAATGTCTTCCACAAGAAAACATGCAAATGAAAAAAAGAAAACTATCGAGAAGTTGAGAGAAAGGGAAGCTACTCCCATAGATAAACAATGATCAAAGAATTGACTCAAACATATTGATGCTACCCATTGAGGCAATGTTCTGTACTATACAAAACACTGGAAGGGGGAGACAAAGTCTATTCTGCCACATTAATTCTGTTACCAGTGAATTCTATAAAGCCAGTTATTTAAAAGATACATCCATGCAATTTTTCAAAACAGGTGATTAGCAAGTCACTCTTTCTTTATTTGAAAGATATGTCAGGGATCAGCAACCCATCACTAACAGCAGATAAAATTAACACAGCTTGGCCTCTCAGACTGGAGGTGGCAGATGTCAATGACAGCCAGTAGCTGACTTCTTCTCTCTCAGAAATATTTGGCAGGCCAGGTCTGGCCCATGGGTTGTAGGTTACCAAACCCTGACTCGTGTCATGCTATCTCTGAAACTGAACACAGTACAACTCTTATCACCATCAGCTCACTAACCTGCCTCCAAGTCATCTTCATCAATCTCTGGTGTCCCATAACTACGGCTAAGTGCTTCCTGGACTTCATTGGCATCTTCCATCATATCTTCTAACTGGTCTTGTATGTCCTGTAGTAGGAACAAATGTCAAGCTTGTCCTTACTGAACATAATAACTAATTTTACTAAGACTGGCTCTCAGTCATTTCAGAATTTCATTATGGACCACAGAACAAGCTACAGGCAACGCCCGCTTAACACTGTTTCGCTTGGCGCTATTTTGCAATAGCATTCATTTTAAATACATACCTGATTCCACATAGCGCTCAGTGAGTTTTGTTATCATGCTGAGTGCAAGGGCCCGGGCTGGCACATGGCTGAAGTAGCAGTGGTGAGGAGCAGCGAGTGAGTGCATGGATGTGAGCACTGAGCCGGGGCCCAGGGTGGGGTGGCGGGAGTGCAGGGCCCAGGCTGGCACATGATGCCAAAGGAGCTGGTGAAGTAGGGAGAAGTGGCAGCAGCGAGGAGCCCAGGCTGGGTAGGGCCCAGGCTGGCACGTGGCTGAAGCGGCAGCGGCAGAAAGCAGCAACAGTAACCAATTATATTTATTTACATTAATGCCTATGGGGAAATGGGTTTTGCTTAGCATGGCTCTGCTTAAAGCTTGTTTTTCTGGAAGCTAACTAAGAGTGCTAAGCAGGGGTGGTCTCTATTTGTTTCCCAAAACTTTATGTAGAAATCTTCCATTTAGCGTAGGAAAACAGCAAAGAAGAAGAAAAGAAACGTTGATGATCCATTTGATGTAACCCGAGGGCCCCTCAAGGTATTTCAAATAATAATAATAATAACGATACAAAATGCACAGGAATTGGAGGAAGGGGAGCTCTACAATAAAATCCATGACAACGCAGAAGTTGACACCTCTCCGGGATTAATTTAAAGTAGGGTTGGGTGTTTGACCAACTGAATGAAGTTTGGTCAATTCACTGGACAAATATTGGTAAAATGTTATAAGAGACTGCCAACAGGTCCAAATAATACATAGAAGTAGCACAAATTTCCCATTAAGATGTGTAAAAAACAAAAATCAAACTTTGTCAAGAAAATTACAAAAAAATGTAGTTTTTGTAAAACTGCTATAACCCTTGACCAGTCAAAACAAAATATGCAGTCTATTGACAATATTTGACCAGTCAACTGATCAGCTTGCCAACCCTAATTTAAACCTTTTGTTAAGCTACCTCATACTAAATGTAGCATTAGCTTGCAAAACAGAAAGCCAAGCAACAAAATCTGAGGAAACTCGTCTATGGATCCTGAAGAAAAGGAAGAGTAGATTACGGTATGCCACAATGAAAATGAAAAGGTATTTCAATGCATGTCCAAGCACTGGACACCTGTCCATATAGATGAGCCAACAATCCTTGTTTCAAGAGTGTACTACATAAACAAGAAGCGTTGTAGAGGATCCTTCTGAAGTATGAATGCCTGCCAAAATTTATCACCTGTTTCTGCTTGCTCCATGACAGTATGCAAGCAGTGATTCTCAGTAACGGATCTATTATAGATCCCTTTGAGAATTAAGGATGGTTGCGCGTCATCACTCCATAGCTCTTCTCAATATTCCTTGCGGCAACGTTACATCTCACCACTAACAAGCTTTCAGACAGAGTCAAATAGATAAGCTGCTTAACCTCAGCCGACTACAAACTAAGACCATCCTGACCATAATAATTGAGCTCCAGTATGTTCACGATGCATAGCGTGCGCTCGCTAGGAAGCAGACATTCAAACAGTCATCAGCATCTTTACCAAGGCACACAAAAATATAAGACTGATGTTTAACATGTGGAAGACTAAGGTCCTCCACCAACAAGCTCCTAACGAACAGTCTCCAGGTCCGGTAATCCAGGTCTACGGTAAGACTCTGAAGAACACTGAGTATTTCCTGCACCTCAGAAGCCCTCTCTCGCAGAAGGCTGACATCAACAAAGAAATCCAACTTTGCCTCAAATGTGCAAGTGCAGCCTTTGGATGCCTGAAGAAGCAGGTGTTCAAAGATTCAATGTCTGAACTGAAAGCTCATGGTTTATCAAGCTGTCATGATTCCCTACCTTGCTGTATGGAGCAGAGTCATGGACAACATATAGGAAATTTCTGAAGCTGATGGAGAGGTACACAATTAACGCTGCCTGCAGAAGATCCTCCAAATCCAGTGGGAAGAGAGACACACCAAAGTTAGTGCCCTCCTGCCAGCAAACACCACAAGTACTGAAGCAACAATCATCCAACATCAACTTTGTTGGGCCGGCCATGTCATTTGGATGTCTGACT